TTCTGAACCTTTTTACCCCTGAACTGTATCAAGTTGTATCCATTTTCCTACAAGAGCCTCAAGGTTTTCTTTCCGTACAGCTGAGTAGTTCTCCATTGTATAAAAGTATTATGTCTTTCCAACCAATCTGCAGCTGATGAGTGAGCTACCCCCAATTTTTTCTGTTACCCTGTCATATAGAACATTATTTTCTCATTGACTTTCAGGCCATAAACTTTCTTTCAGGTGAAATATATTTCTTATATAGAGCATCTTGATGACCCTATCTTTTGATACACTATGCCTGTGTTTCTTTTTATTAGTGTATCGAGGTCATCCATATTAGCAATTATTGCTAATCTTCTCTGCCTGGTCTCTGCCATGCTATTTTTCTGCAGTTAATTGTCTACTCTTCCCCTTCATTCCACTGTCTACCCTATTCAGTGAGCCTCCTCTGTCACTATTCTTGAAACCATGGTCTTTTTTTCTCTCTCTCTCTCTAGAGTGTCCTTCAGTATTTTTTGTAGGGTTGCATTGGTGGTCACAAACTCCCCTAGTTCCTCTTTGTCATGGAAGCATCTTCTTTCTTCATTAATTTTGAGTGACAGTTTTTCAGGGTACATCAATCTGGGTTGAAGGTTATTTTCTTTCAGGGCTGTGAATATTTTGCCCCAAGCTCTTCTTGATTTGATGGTTTGTGCCAAGAAGTCTGTCATGAATCTGATGGTTTTCCTTTATAGGATATCTGGGTTTTTTCCTCTGACAGTTTTTACTATTCTGCTCTTGTGTAGAATTTCTGGGACCTTGACTATTATATGTCTGGGTGTGGATCTGCAATTGTATGTATATGTACACATGTTCAGTCATATTAAAATACCTGTTTTCATTTCTTAAAGAGGAAAAAAAAAAAAAAACAACTGTGAGACCAAAACAGAAACAGAAGTTCAGTATTAGTATCATGGATAAAAACATCTATATTTAATTTTAAAACAAGGAAGCCAAATAGCTCAATTATATATCAAATCAATAAGAAATAACTGTCTTTTGACAAATGTTATGAAAGCAGTAGCTAAATGGAGTTGTCTTGGTTAATTTTCTCTCATTGCTAAGGCAAAATACCTGACACCCAAATGAAAGGAGAAAAGGTTTATTTAACTTATAATTTTGAGAGGTTTCTATTCATAATCAGCTGACTCCAAGACAGGGTGATGTGGCTGAGGGGCAACATGGTGGCTGTGGCAGATACCAAAAGCCACAAGAGCAAAAAGGCAAAAGGGAAGGCACTCCCCATTTCCCTCTCTTATATTCTATGTTGGTTGCCTGTGCCAGTGCAGCACTCAAACCGCCAATTCCAGCGCTAGACAGTGAATCAGTCTGAAGTATTAGATTCAGCTGCTTCAAAGACCGTGTGAGGCTTTGGAGAAGACATTTAAACAAAAAACAACAGATGTTGAAAAGTACCTTTTAGGTTGCCAGTAAGGTTCTATCAAATGTTTTGTTACATCCCGCCAACTAATTTCTCATTTTGACTTGTGTAACATTATGAATTTTTTTGGACTTGATTGATTTACTTCTGTTAGGGGGATATAAAAACTCTCCTAAAATGATTGTATATCCAACAGCTTCACATTGTGTACCTAGTTTGCTTAAATTTCTCTTTGTATTGTAGGGTTCATAAAAAGTTTAAAATATCTCTCGAGATGACTTCCCTTACTGCTATAAAATCTCGCTTGTCTAATATTAGTGTTTTGCTTGAACTCTTGCTTGAACATTTGTTTGTTTGTTTGTTTGTTTGTTTTCATAGGGTCCTGCTCTGAATTGGGGTTGGCCCTGAACTCAATATGCACTCCAGAGTGGCTTTGGAATCATGGTATTCCTTCTGCCTCAGCCTTCTAAGTGCCAGGCTTTTTGAGTATGCACTGCCACATCAGGCATATTAATGTTTCCAAGTGTCCTTGGTTTTATTTTTTGTTCTATTTAATATTTGAATTTGATCTTGTGTTATACATATATCTTCAAGCATTTGTATTTTTGAAGTTAATGTTTGGTTTTGTTTGGGTTTTTTTGATACCGGGGATCAAACTCATGACTATGCCCTTGTAAAGAGGGCGCTTATGCCGCTGAGCTAAATCCCCAGCCCTTGAAGTTAATGTTTTATCTGGATTCATTTCTAACTGCTTGTTTCATTTTCAGTTTACTACTTTTATATTTGCTTCCTTATTTTCTTCTTTTACATTTTTTCAGATTGATTTTGATTTTCTTCTGTCTCTACTGGCTAAATGGTATGCATATCATTTATTTTCTTTTGTTGTTGTCTGTTAACTTTTAAATACATAATAATTGATTTTAAAATAAATTTTTGATTCTTTACTATTCCTATTTAATGACAAATATTGTATATTACTTATCTAGGTTTGTTTACCAATTAAACATTCTCTGACTCCACGTTGATATTATTGTCTAAGTCTTTTTCAGTGAAATTTTCCATTTTTATGCCTAATATTTAACTTAAACTATATTC